AGAGGCTGTGAGGGACAGCAGTGAACACTTGTGGGGCAGAGCTCTCTCCCAGCACAGGGAGACCATGTTTCTGGAGTGTTCCTGGGGGAGTCTGTGTCCTGGGTGGCCAGGGTCTGGTCCCGCTGGCCTCTATTCTCTTCAACCACCTTGTCACAGTACATTTACAGAATTTCAATAGCTCCCTACAGCTTGCCCCAGGAGTGAGACTGGGGATGCCAGCAGATTGGACACACAGTGAAGAAGAAAAAGGGGGTGTGGAGAAACGTATCGCAGCCTTAGAAACACGGCTTTCAGCTGGCACTGCAAAAAGAACTCTTAAAACTCCATGTCTCTCTAGCAACTGCAAATCAATAGTGAAATAAGAAACTCTCAGGTGTCTGTCCTCTGTTGTCTAGACCACTGGTTCACCCAGCAGCTAGTCTGTACGCACCAAATGCCCAAGTGCTGGCTGTAACTGCTTAACCAGCACTTACGGTATACCAGGCACTGTTCTGAGTACTCTGTGTGCATTAACTCATTTAATTCTCATAACAGCACCATAAAGTAAGTACTCTTATTATCCCCATTTCACAGATGAGGAGACTGAGGCCCAGACAGGTTAGGCAATGCACCCAAGTCACAGAGATACACAGCTAGTAAGTGGTGGAGCTCAACTCAGACAGTCTGACTTGGACATGCTGCCACTACTCTCTGTTGCCTCCTATAAGCAGATATAAGGAGTAAAATAAAGTGACTGTGGTCAGAGAGCATGTACTAGATGGACTTCTAGTATTTCTGAAGCCAAACAAAAGCATTACAGATGTAAAACAGAAAAGAGGTCCCCAAACCTCCCCCAGTGACATTTATCCTGCTACCTAACCATCTGTTAGGACATTTTTCCTCTTGACTCCTTTGAGTTCTCACTCTAATAAATCCGTCCCTTTGCTTCTGCTCTGCTCTCTAGAGAGAGAAGGGAGTTGGGAAAAAGAGACCAGCACGCTGCTCATGGACAGGAGAAAAGACCATCCGGTTTCTCTGACGGAGGTGGAGGCAGGCCTCTGTCTTCCCCATGCACCTGGGAACACAGTAGTGAGTGGGAGCGAGTGGCTGCTGCTTCTCTGCGGTTACGTAATGACAAAACAATGACCTGCTTCGCCTAGCTTAGCAGCAGCTGGAAAAGTGGGTCAGGGATTCCTTTGAGGGTCACTGGAGTTGACTGATGGAGCTGCTACCCCCTGTGAAGTTGTTGAAATGTAGCTTTGGGCTTAAGGGCAGAAAGTTGGAAAGTTGGCTTAAGGGCAGAAAGGTAGCCACTGGGGCCACCCTCCCGACTTCCAGTGAGTGCCTGCTGGACGTGAAGCCTATGTGGGACTTGGCACTACGTGTTGAGGATGCTGAAGAAAAAACAGACCTAGATCAGCCCTCCAATCTTGTAGCCATAGCATCCACATTCTTTTGACTATGATCTATAGCAAGAATACATTCAAATCATATGTGTGTGTATGTATGGACTGTGTTGTTTTGTTTCACCTTGCTAGCCTGTTCTATTCTTTTTTTCATTAAAAAAATACTGACTACAATCCACTGAATTGACATCTTGATCCCTAATGTACAGTGGAAAACACTGGTCTGGGAAAAGATACCTAACATGTATCATTACAAAATAATGTATAAATGGAGCCAGGGAAGTGTGTACAAAAGGTATAGAACCCTGACGAAGACGTGTTAGGGGCTTGGAAAGTCCTTTCCTACATTCTTTCTATCACCTGCTGTGGGCATATCGCTGTGGCACGGCCTGTGGCGATGTCTGCTGGCCCCACTTCTCAGCACGTCTCCCACCGGCTCCTCAATCCAGCCTCAGCCACGCCACAGACTATTGATACTGACTCTGGGTGGCCTGAGCTAACATTATCTGTGAATCCAAAGACAGGGTAGGGGCAGCCTTCCCAGCCCTAGAACTGTGTGAAGTTCCCTAAGCAAAGTAAGGATCCTACATGGACACCTTCATTTCACCAGGCTCTGTCTTCTTTTTCCCTTTCAGGCTCAGCACCCACCCACTGGGGCTGAGGGAGCAGGACCCAGAGTCAGAGTGGGAGCAAGTGGCAAGAAAGCAATGACTGGTGGCTGCTGATAGAGAGATGTGGCGTGTGGAGGCAACTCAATGCCAATACACAAATATCTTCTGGCAGAAGGGTGGGGCTAAGTCCCCGAAAGGTAGACAGGACACCAACAGATGTCCCTTGGGAGATCTCCCTCATGTTGGCTGCCTTGAAGAACAGTCCAGGCAGAGATTTTATTTGCGGGCTGCACAGATACTGGGGAGGGAATACATCTGTGCTAATGAGTAATATGAAGAAAAGAACGAATGACATATAAACACTTAACTTCCAAGGAAATGCTTGAAAGCATCCTGGAGCCACAAAAATGTGGTGAACAGCATGAGCGTTTGAGTAAGACTGACCAGGGGACAAATCCTGAAGTCCCATTTCCGGTGAGTTCTTTGGAAAACACCTGGGAAAAGGGAAGGGTATGAGCCAACCCCAGCTTCCTGGAAGTTCACATCTACTGCTTAACCCCCCTGGGCCTCAGTTTCCTGATTGCTAAAGCTGAGATAACAACAGAACCTACCTCCTAGGACTGCTGTGAGGTTTAAATGAGAATGGCTGATGCCATGATACACACTGATACTCAGCTGCATAACTTTGGGTGGCAAGTGAGAAAACAGCGGAGAACAGGACCAGAGGGACAGTAAATAGCCAAAGCCATGTGAGAGTCTTCCTGCGTTCTGCATGTTCTTCCCTCCACCGGCCTTAAAGCAAGTAGAGACACCGTCTCCTGATGGCCCCACCTCCATCTCAAAGATGGAGCTCTTTGGGAAATCTCAGTTAGCTGCTCAAAGTCCTGTTGGCTATTCCTCTTTACATTTATTCACATTTTGTTGGAACCCTGAACACATGGGTCAGAGGTAAGTCTCACCAAGTTCTATGGAATGGTGGGAAGAGCCAGCTTCCAAGGCCCATGAGGAAACAGAACAGAACAACTCTTCCTCGGAGTACTGGGATGGGAGGGCTCTTTGGCCAGCTCCCCCAGGACTCCCTCCACCCCCTGTACACAGATGAGACACCCCTGGCCACTGAGAGCAGAGGCCCAGCAGCTGGGGGGTGGGGGGAATGGATCCTGACAGCTGCTGGGCCAACACATATTCTTTTCTCTTAAATGAGGGACTTGGAAACCTCCCTTTGAGGTCAAGGCATTTCTTTATGCCCCTAACTCTAGATGTTTGAGTGGGAGAAGCACGGCAGTCTAGTGCTGGCCAGGGATGCTTCCCACCCTCCTCCTAAGCAAAGCCCACCTTGGGACAGTGGAGTTTCTGATGCAGGAAGAGCTGTGGAAAACACTCAGGAGCATTGAAAAGGGTAATTTTCCTTTTTTTTTTTTAAAAGAAAAATGTAATTTTAAATTGTGGTGTCTAGTGGCTCATGAAACAGTGATGGAAAATGCAAATGGAAGGCCCTCCCACAACAGACGTGCTTTATGGGCCCTGCAGAGCTGCAAAACCATTAGCATATTGAAGACGCTGTCAAGTCCAGCAGCAAAGAATTTTGCATTAATTTGCTATTTAACCCAGTGTTTCTCAAACATACTTGGTCACAGATCCTTTTGCAAGAAACAAGTTCTTTCTGTGGAACATCACTGGACAAAGAGTATAGCCAGGGCCTCCTCCCATGCATTTTACACTGTGGCTCTCAGCAAATGAGAAACTCGTGCAGTGAGCAGAGCACAGGTAGGTTTGAGCTTCCACGTGTGCCCTTGACCAGACCAGGAATGTAGTAGCCCTCCTGGGAAAGGACACACAGCTTACTGGGCCATCCTCAGACCTTAGAGACCAGGGCTTCAAGGTCCACATTCGTTAATTTAGTCTCTCTTCAGGATGAAGTCGCAGCTTATGAATGAAGGAAGAGGGTGCTCAAGAGGAGAAGGTCAGAGACCGTGTCTAACCTGGAAGTTTCAATACAAACCAGCCGCCATGAAGGGCTGCTGAACAACCCTGGGCTTACACTCAACACGGGAGCCTCTGAACACCTTTGAGGAGCTGATCTGTGCTGCACTATTTAAAGGGCACGCACACACACACACACATGGAAAAACTACACCAGCCACGCATTGCAACAGAAGTTCATGATGACTGGGAAGAGCAGGACGGAGACCTGCATGTCCATTCCAGCCATTAACTGCTTTGCCTAAGAGCCTGACTGCTGTTTGGCTTCTGTCTTCTGGCTGGGGAGTGGACCAGTTTTCCGGGCATATGCATTTACTGAACTCTGAAAGGCCAGCTCTTCTGTGTAGATTAATTCATGATTTCAAAGACACTTTGAAGTTGGCAAAACATTCTGTTATTTCCAAGAGTTATTACAACTGAAATCCTGGCATAGCCTGGGAGGTCAGACTGTAATCTTGTTTATATCCTTTTAAATTCAGAAACTTTACAGTGGGTTAAAAATAGATCGCATCTGTGTACTTTTCCTCCTTTCATCCCCACTGCAAAAGCTGTGCAGTAATTTTGACCTACCTTCAATATTAGCCAGAGAAATTCTAGCACTTGTCAACTGGGAGTCTATGGGGTCAAAACAAAAGTCATTTTTTAAATGGGTTGTGGGATGATGCTAATCATATGACTCAGCAGAGTTACTCATTGTCTAACATAGTAAGTTCTAGAATTAATAACAACAGATTATCACTCATGAAGAACAACATAATAGTACATGGACTCACGTTAAGTGAAAATTGGACCAGGAGGAGGAACATTTTCAATAGCGCTACCCTGAAGGGCCTGAGTCTTTACATACTGACCAGAAAAGATCACAGTGTTTACATCAAAAGAAGCTATATGGGGCTGGCAGGTCAGGTTACTTTTAACCAAAAGTTAAATGAAGGTGGCACCTGATTTCAGAAAAGTCAGCATATTCATGCCCAGCAAAGACAGCATTACACTCAGGATTACCTCTTCGTGGTTACTTTACCTTCATGAACATGCTAAATCCAGTTTTAAGGAGATCAGTGAGGCCTGAAGACATGTGTTCAATATCAACAGGATCTGGCCTTTCGGGATTAAATATTTCCTCCACAACCTGCTTCAACAATGGCTTATAGGATGCCTGGAAAGACAAAATATTGTGCCATAAGTAACAGGGTTTGTTTGGATTGTCTGTTGAAAGGATGGTTTTATCAGCACCAAATGAAACAAAACAAGTTTATTTTGATACTGTGAAATGGCTATGATTTTGCATGTGAAAAGGCAATTACAACAACATCAGGTTTTTGGGTAAAATTTCACCCTGAAGAGAGACCAAATTAACAAATGTAGACTTTCTGGCACTAATTGTTGTTTCTCATACCCCTTTCTACAAGCAAATCTCTCTTACCAGAGCTATAATCATAGAATGATTAGTTTTTCAATCAAGATTTAAAGCGATAATTTTATGTATGAAGTATATGGGAAAGCAAAGTATTGTCATTTAATACAGACATTAAGATGGTCTCCAGTTTTTCCTAAACATTGTTAGAAATATGCTCCCTTTGCTAGGAACTCAAATGTTTTCTTACAGTGTTTTGTTGTTATCCAAACCCCAAAGCAATCCCTCCTTCCTCTATAGAGCTCAGCTCTAAGCACAACTTGGCCAGAAAAAGAAGCCAAGGTGCCAAAAAGGAATCTGACCAAGGTCAAAGCTTAAGAGAAGGCACGCAACATGGTATTATAACAATTTCAGTAGAATAGTTGAACTTCTGATAAATAATGCTAAATGCTTTCCTTTTCCGTGACCTCAACAACCTACACACACTTAAGTAATATTTGGAGGCAGGTGCCCCGACAGCTGCAGTTTCTGAGCATATTCCTCCACCTCTTTCCTCAGTTCTCCTCACCACCCAGCTCTTCCTTTCCTCTCTTCCCATCAGCTGGACCACCTTCCTCCCAGTCCTCCTGCTGCTTCTGCTGCTCCAACTCCATAGGGCATCTGAGTGTGGGGCCTAAAGGTAAGAGAAGAAGGAATGTTTTCTCTCCCCTCACTCTCTATATCTAGTGTTATCTCTATTGTATCTACCATAGGCTCAGAAAAGCCAGGTTCTGAAAAAACACTGGAGAGATGTCTTGAACTCTTGTCTCTCTCTTTGCATTGGCCAAATCGCTGAGCTGCCTTTAGCAAGTGTCGAGCATATTTGGTGTACTGACTTCACCTCTGGCTTCATCTTGCCTTTTTTACTGTCTTCTTTTTTACTCTTATTTTCCCTTTATTCCTATTTTCTTACCTAAAATATCTTAGAAATAAAGCAGGGTAAAAACCATCAAAATTATAAACAAACATTTAGCTAGAATGCAACTGGAGCATTTGTCAGGGATAAGATGCAGGGAAAAATAGCGACTGTTCAGTTGAGGGGTGCAGCTTTCCTATGCTCACTAGCCAAAGAGACCATTGCATGCCCAGATCTGATGGGTTAATGCTTCTGCAAGGTAAAGCACCGATAGATCAAGGACACTGGTAAGATAGAAATTAAAACACACGCACATACACAAAATGACTCCTCCTGCCTCATAATAAAGCTATATCAAGATAGAGTTTTAAAATTTACCATTTAGGCCAATTTTAGGCAAAAATCCAGAGGTTTGAAAATAAGCTTTCAATGAGGCCATGGGGAAATAGAAGCTCTTGTATATGCATATTGCTGATGGGAGGGTAAACTGCTACAATCAGTGTGCAGAGCAATTTGGCAATATATATCAAAATTACAAATGCATCTGACCTAACAATTTTACTTATAGGAATTTATCTTATAAACATGCTAATGTATGTAAATGAGACCCATCAAAGTCTATTTCTTGTTGGTAATAGCAAAAGATTGGAAGCAACTCAAGCGCCTGCCCATCCACACGGAGCAGGTTCTAGGTGGGACACATCCTCAGGAAGGAGAGCTGTGAGAGGGGGTGGGAAGTTCTGTGTTGACCTGGCAAAACACAAGGTGCAGAATAACGTGTGGGTGACAAAAGCAAGGTGAGAGGCAATGTACATGGCAGGCTGGTGTTTGTGGAAAATGTGTCACAGGGAATATGACAGTTTGTACTTGTTGAAGTATGTAAAAAATAAACTCTGATGTGATATACAGACATTACCATGAGCAGTGATCATGGGGCATGGGACTGGATAAGGCACAAGGGTGGAAGGAAGACTTGTCAATGTATTGCTTTTTAAAAACACAGTTAAAACACCACTGTAAACAGCAAGAGGATTTTGTAACTCATTAAAAATTAATAGATTATGCAAGAAACAGAAGAGAACAAAGCACACCAAATGTTAATTAGGGCTATCTTTAGGTCCTGGGAGTAGGGGACATTATTTTCTTCTCCTTCTAAAATTTCCAAAATTAGCAGGTATACTTCTGGAATGATAACATCATCCAAGAAATACTTTCAGTGTTTTTTTTTTAAAAGGTCATGGAATGACCTCTGAATTCTATAAATCCTCTTCTCTGAGTAAACTGCCTTCAGAGCCCTTCTATCATCTCAGCCTTACTGGACATTTACTCTCTCAAATTTAAACTTTTATTTCTTTAAACTGTTCCCGAGGAGGAGGTGTCCTTTGGCCAATACCCTAATTTATCAGGATTATCATAAAAAATTCATTGACCTCTTCCTTAGTAATAGAACCTAATTTTTCACCAGGCCCATTATCAGTTGGCTGAAAGACCTTATTCTCCAGCCTTCCTCGCAAGTCAGTACGGTCATGGAACTAATTTCTGGGTGATGAGATGGAACTAGAAGGGGAGTGGGATGTTCAGAGGTCTCCTTTTGACAAAGGGAAGGGTAAGCTTCCCTCCTCTTTCTCTGTTCTGTTGCCCGGAACACAGAAGTAGTGCCAGCAGGTCCGGCAGCCATGGGGAAAGGCAGGGCCGTTTTGGGGGGATGCTGATGCAGAGAGCGGGAAGGAACCTTGGTGGGTGCTGGTGAGGACTGGGAGGGTTGCTGTAACCATAGCATGGGCAGACTAAATGAGGACTTACTTTACATGACAATACAAACCCTGATATGTTTAAACCATTAGTTTTCAGATCTCTATTGCTTTGCAACTGAATGAAATTCTAACTGATACGAAGCACAAAGGGAATATAAAAAAATAAAAGGCCATTCCTTTCTCCCAGGGCCTTACAGTTATTTGTTTTGTTTGCCTATATAAAAAGAAACCAGTTGTGTAGAATAACTTTAAGCAGATCACAGAGAAATACACAGAGGCTGTCACATTTAAGAGGGAGACAGAAATTTCCAGTCAAGATGGCGGCATAGGCAGCTGTGGCTTGCCTCTCTGCACAACCACATCAAAATTACAAATAAAATATAAAACAACAAACACTCAGAACCATCAGAAATTGAATTGAATGGAAGTCTGACAACTACAGAATTAAAGAAACCACATCCACCAAAACTGGTAGGAGGGGTGCAGACACAGAAAGTCTGGTCCCTCATCCACTTCTTGTGGATAAAACTTTGGGAGGGATATCTTGAAGCTAAGGAATCCCAGCCCTACAACAGGCCCTGGAGCCCAGGGTTCCAGTGCTGGGAGGATAAGTCCCCACAAATTCTGGCTGTAAAAACCAGCAGTTAAGCTGGTGGAAAAAACTTCTGGAGCTTCAAGCAGTTCCTCTTAAAGAACCCACACATGGACTAACCTACTCAGACTCATTCCTTCTGGGCTCCAGCACTGGGGTAGCAGCTTGAAAGGCACCAGTGGCATAAAGAGAGGAACTGAAGTATCTGGCATCAAGGTGAGCAGAGGCCATTGTCCCTTTTCTAAACCTTCCCCCCAAAGAGCTGGCAAGCTGGTGCCATATCTGAGACTCCATCAACCTGGATAACACTGTTTGCCCCAATTGGAGATCCCCAGAGACTCCATCCCACCCAACTTACAGGTCCACCCAGCTGCTTTTCCATATGAAAGGCTGGTCTTGGCTCATGCTTCATATCTTCCTAAATCCTATCAAATAAGCAACAGCTGGCCTCAGCAAGCCCCAGGCCTGGCACTAGCAGCAGCCAGCCTAGATTCACAGTTAGGCTTTGCCTGGTGATCTCCAAGCCCAGCACAAGTAGCAGCATCTCAGATGGCTCTTTAGCTTAGGCAGGGCGGGCCAGAACAAAACACAGGAAGGGGCTGACCTTGGCCTCCACCACCTGGGAAACCCCAGGGCCTTCACACCCAGTGGACAGCTACAGACCATGTTGGAATATGACCATCCTGCCCCTGCACAGCTGATACTCCACAGAGGGTGGAGGTTGGTAATTGGTCACAACCAATCCTTTAGCTGACTTGTCTGGGTAAATCCCTCCCATTGATCTGCCAACAGCAAACAAGGCTCAACTACTCAGGGAACTCAGTTCACATGAAGAACAGATCTCAAGTATCCAGCTTAGGTGATAGGGGAGGCTGTGTCACTGGTCCCTACAGGACACCTACTACATTAGGCGATGCGACCAAGACACAGAGTCAAAGCAGTTCTACCTAATACATAGAAACAAACACAGGGAGGCTGCCAAATGAGGAGACAAAGAAACATGGTCCAAAAGAAAGAACAGATCAAAACTCCAGAAAAAGAACTAAATGAAATGGAGATAAGCAATGTATCAGGTTTCAAAATACTGGTTATAAGATGCTCAAGGAGCTTAGTGAGGACCTCACAGTATAAAAAAGATGCAGTCAGAAATGAAGGAATATACTAATTTAAATAAAGAACAATTTACAGGGAAACAACAGTAGAATGAATGAAGCTGAAATTCAGATCGATCATTTGTAACATAAGGAAGCAAAAAACAACCTATGAGAACAACAAGAAGAAAAAAGAATGCAAAAAAATTAGGATAGTATAAGCAGTCTCTGGGGCAACTTCAAGAGGTTCAATATTCACATCATAGGCATGCCAGAAGGAGAAGAGAAAGCAAAAAATGGTAAATCTATTTGAAAAAATAATGAAAGAAAATTTCGCTAATTCAGTGAAGGAAATAGACATGCAAGTCCAGGAAGCACAGAGTCTTAAACAAGATGGATGCCAAGAAGCCCACTCCAAGACATATCATAATTAAGATGCCAAAGGTTAAAGATAAAGAAAAGTAACAGGA